GAAGAGCTTTCAACGCAGTCGGGTGGCCCTCTCTGACGCACCGACGGGCGCAACGCTTCAAGATATCTGCTGGGAATACTCGCAGTTGTAGCAGTTCCCAGGCAATCCTTGGGTACCAGTTGTGGATTATGCTAATCTCTAGCATTGTATTGCCATCTTTGTCACTGCGAGCTGGCTCCCAACCATGCTGTAGGAGGTCATTGATGGCCGATCTCCGATCAATCGCTGTTTCCTCAGATTGGGTTATTTCATCGGTAGTGTCAGTGCTGTGGTGCTTGATAACTTTGTCCTGAAATACTTTTTGAACGTGTTCATAGTTGCCATACTCAATAGCCATCAAAATAGGAGCCATTGCCCCATAGTCCTGCATGTCAATCCCCAGCAATTGGTCAAGTAGAAATCTTACCGTCGACATATGTCGCGATGATATGCTTGACGTAAGGGCCTCCATCGCACATTCTTGTCGGGATCCAATGTCCAACGCTGTAAAGTACAAGAATTCAACAATTTGCTGGAGTCCCTGGGCTGCAGCTTGCAGCATGGTCTTTCTGATAATGCTTGCACCAGAGGAAGTCGTCTTGAGTTTGCGAATTAGTCGATCGGCAATGCTTTCGTGTCCATTTTTTAAAGCCGCGAACAACGGGGTTTGGCTGCCAGAATCAAGGCTCACACCATTTTGGAGCAAGTAGTTGAAAACTCCTTCGTGACCATGTTCGGCAGCAATCATGATAGCTGTCTGGCCATTTCGGTCGGGAGCGCTTGGGTCGGCGCCCTTTTGGACGAGAAGCCTGGTTATCTCGAGATCCCCCTTTTCCGCTGCTAGACAAACCGTGGTTGTGCCGAAGCCAATCGTGGATTTGACTTCAGCACCATGATCTAGGAGAAGTTTCACCATCCTCCGCTGGCATTTCCCGATGGCTGAGGATAATGGAGTTTGATCAAAGCCAACCCGAATGTTCGGATCTGCTCCTTCTTGAAGGAGGGCTTCCAATAAAACATCATTGCCTTTCTCTACAGCCACCCACAAAGATGTTTTACCGTAACGGTCGCGGGAGCTGATGTCGACTTTATGATCCATTAGAACCTTCGCTACCGAGATCTGAGCCCTATCCACTGCCCACATCAAAGGGCACCAGCCGTTGAGATCCTTCAAGGTTAAGTCACTACCCACGCGAACCAGCATTGCCACAATATTAGCAGCGCCAGCCTCTGCGGCAAGCGAAGTTGCTGTTCGACCTTCATTGTCGGCAAGATTACGATTCACTTCGTTGCCAAGGAGGAGCTGTACCACAGCGAACTGATTGCAATAAGCAGCCCAGAGAAGGGGAGACCGGCCATACGTCAAGTCTTTCTCATCTTTATTTGCTCCTTCTTCAAGCAGGGCTTTCACACGATCTGCAAAGCCGAAATACGCAGCAGCGATAAGGTCAGTAAATCCGCGAGGGCACCGAGACTTTTTACATGACCAGTATATCTGGAACCATGTTTGAAACCTATGATACCCTGTATGGCAAAGGTCCTGTAGCATAATAACCTCTGACGATACGCGGCCAGACGCATGAAGATGGTTTACCCAATTCTTCGCCGCATAATCCAGGAATGGATACGGATGGGTATCTTCGGCAATGTCGTCACTCCAAGGTCGATGACGAAGCTCCAATGTTTGATCCCTGATGATCCTCTTGTCATCAAAGAATGGCATCCGCAGGTAAATGGCACACTGGCTCATGATTATCTGGTGGCTCTGGCTCAGGCTAATTGAACCTTTCCAACCACTAGCCGCACCTGCTCGCAGAGCAGTAGACATGAGGAAATCCCTCGCTGTGTGATGGATTAAGTAGACCTTTGAGTCAACGACGGTCACAAAGAGACTACATAGGTTTCGAACTCGGATGCGAAACTCCCTTTCTGGAACAAGGTGGACATCCATGGGACTGAACTCTTTACCCTTTAACGAGAGGGCAACATTCAACTCCCTTACAGTAAGTGGTCTCGTTGCCGCTAGAACAATCCCCAGAATTCTTACCGCTGGTCCGCTCTTCTTCGTGTTCTGGAGAATATTCGAATACGCCTGGTCAACGCTTGCCGGCAAGCTTTCGAACAGCCCCCTGACCTCCTCATCCTCTTCAGTAAGATAATATCGCTCATCGATGACTTCCTCAATCATCTGGAAGATGAGTCTCACCCACAGATATGTCCGTTGCTTCGTACTCTGAAGTTTCTCACGCAAATATCTTTGTATTTCTGGGTCAAGAGAAGTCTGTAACTGGTTGAGCTTTTCTGTAATCACGACGTCTATCTCGTCACTTATTGTTCCTATCTTTTCCTCTCCGGCTAAACGGATGGACGGGCAGCTTTCAAATCGCCGTTCAATGTCCGAGTGCGGACGGCTAGTTACCAAGAATTTGGCTCTACTGAATCGTTTGTCTGACTCGCTGTGGAGGCATGTAAGACGCTCGATCAGTTCGTGGCGGCCTCTCCTTTCACACTCATCCAAGGCGTCGATAATAAAAACAAAGTTGGTGGAATCCATATCGCTAATCGCACTTAGAAGTATTTCCCACAGCTTGTGTGCTGATTTTACAAAGCTAGCCTTGTCCGCATTGAAGTCAGGCAACGCACATTTGATGAGGTTCCGATGTGCAGAAAAGAGTTGATGGAGAATTGCACACAGGGCATTTTCTAATGAGCTTTGCTCGGGATTGTCGTCTTTGAAGAAGAAAAAACATGTCGTACGGTGTGTGGACATCTGAAGCTCCCCGTCGATCAACGATTTGGCCAGAACTGACTTCCCACAGCCAGGGTCAGCGGATACCCAAAGCAGAGAAGACTGGGCGCTGTCTCTCCAGTGAATAAACTTGGGGTCATGGAGAAACCATTCACAGGTTCCTTCGTAGCGATTATCGTTTCTATTTTTATGCTCCTTGTACGCACACACATTGAATGCCGCTAGGCACTTGGTTTCTGTTGTGGAATGGTCGCGCCCTAGATTAAACATCAGGACTAGCTCAGTACCCCTTCAATTCTGATGCTACATTCCACTCCGAATTTCTTTGCAGTATCTGACACATACCGGATATCTGACCGAAGCGTGCGGTCCAGCCAGAACCATTACCATCCTCTTCCTTGACTACCCGAGACATCCGCCGCTTCGTTGAGGAGCCGACGCTCCATTCGTCTGGCTGTGGCTTTCTTTTCCGGGGCTCTTTTCGTGAACAGACACTTGGTTAATGATCCGTGCAGTGTAGACAAGGCGTAAAGGAAGCGAACTGGTAATTAAACATGTAGAACTTACTCGCAGATGCAGTGCTATCCACGACAAATAGCAGGTCCCTGGCGTACGCAGCAGCTGTGGCAGCTGCATAACTCTGCCATTGTTTGGTTTTATGCGAGTCGGCATAATCACAAATACCTCTAACAACAGCGCAGGGAAACGTGTTCATAAGACCCGCCGCCTCCATCTCAAAGCATAAAACATCATATTCATCCCTGAGCCTGTCGCGTGTTCGGCCATCCCGCATGACCTCGTTCCCGGAGGCGATCGTTCCATAGTGAATGAAAGGTGACGAGTGCTGCCGGTTTTCTCGGGCGACCTCCTCGCTCGAATCGCATTCCTGGCATGTGTAGACTCCACCAACATGACTGTACTCCGCCTTGAAGAGCTGGTCTGGAGCGGACGGCTTAGAAAAGCTGTCCGGTAGATTTGGGCTTAGAGTTTTCAAGACCTGACCTTCGCCGGATAATTCCAGACGTGCGCGGAGAGTATTCATGGCCGTGAGCAGCACCACCGGCGGCGTGTTGAGGTACCCGGTGTGTACAAATTTCCCTTCCGCGACCGTCTTCCCGAAGTCATACTGAATTATCCCACCGGATCTCACACCGGGCATTCCAATCACCACATCTCCGAGTCGAATATCATGTAAGTCACTTGGCACTCCGCCACCAATTCCGACCAACAATCCAAATCCAATGGAGCCGAACGTCGCTCTCATTTGGGCAGCGACCGTGGCAGCGGAGTTCGTGCCTTTCAGGCCGGCCGGAAGGCACGCGACCGCGACATTGTGAGTACCGATTTGGCCAAGGGTATAATGATTGTCGTCTCCATCGCGCGGTGGAAGAGAGGGGTGGATTACATCGAGCATAGCCATGGCAGCCGTCAGCTCGATGTGTAACGCGCAGATCCACCCGACCGTGTAGTCATCGTATGTCCGGTTGGAGGAGAGCATTCTGGGATCGCGCAAGGTACATCACGGTCAGCTGGTGGGACAGTTGTCATGCAGAGCATGCGACATAGAGGTTGTCGCAAATGGGTCAAGAGATACGATGTGAGGAGGAAATGCAGAGAATTGCAACAGAGACGAAAACAGCCCCTCACATGTCCATCTCAACCCGGACTAGTCCTGCACCTCGTGATTTAATCAAACCTAATCAAGTTCTTTGGATTGAAGTAATTAAAGTAATTGCGGTATATAGAATAATATGTCTGTATTGTGCTGGCAATTTATTACACGCAAGGCTCTAACAATCATTCTATCACTGCCAAATGCAATCATAGCCCCCTTTAATACTATATTAGCAATGTGAAGCTCGACTGCCAGTATACAGAGAACAATAGTACTTTAGAGAAGCTAATAGAGTATAGCTAGTAAGAATAAAGATTCAGAGACTGTGAACCCGAGCACCAAGACAAAACTCTTCGAGGGCTACTTCTTGTTCCTATCTCCAATGGTAGACGGTGCGGGTATCCTGGCAGGTTGATCCCCCATCAGACTCAAATAGTACACATCAAACCATTTATCGGTGTTTCTTCGTACCTCAATAGGCTATACCAGTTTAGCAAGAATTGCCGGCTAATTAAGGGCCAAGGGCGTTTACCCCGCGCCATTGATTTGGGCTGCCTCACTGATAAACAAGCTGGAGGATGTATTCTACAGGTCCTCAATTCTTGCCATTATATCCGAGGTACTCCAAACAAATCCGGACCTCATTTGTACGGTCCAATGAATATTGACTGCCGCTATCTTACAGACTCATCGAGTGCGAGCGACATGGCCTTATTACGCGTCAAGCCTTTCCATGGCATCATTCATAGCCACCCGCCTCGGGCCATAGCATCTTTCTCAACACGGACCCTTCTACATAGCCAAGATCACACCCCTAAGAATAATCAACCGAACGATAAGAGAGAAACCTACTGGAAGTATGATCTCAGCTTCAAGACTCAGATGGGTAAAACAGTCCTCATTGCTGTTCTTGCCGGGGCCGGTGCTCTGGAGAGCTGGACGTGGTATCAGGAAATCCGGGCGTGGTGGACGGGTGTGCGAGATGATGGGACAGATGTATAGGCTGTGTGAAATATTGATGAGGCTATCGCTGTCCCATACAGGGTACATGTGGGATTAACTCAACGAAGCCTCGTCTACAACTCTTCCCGCAGACCAATGCTTTGGATTTGTTGCCATCTTTTCCCCAGTCCCAAGAGAGAACCGAACGCCAACCCGGTCACACATCACCCCGAGAGTCGTCCATTGCTTCCTGAAGGACTCCTTAATGCAAATGCTCGTCCCATGTAGTTCCTCCCGTTCAGGAGAGACGAGTAAGGACTGTAGATTTGGAAACTGTTCCTCTCGCCGAGCAAGAAGATCCTCGAGGTGGGTGACCAATACAGTAGAGTTGTCCTCGTTACAGTCGGCTAGATGTAAAACTCTCAAGCTCTTAGGCAGAATATCTCCCAGCGGCATCATATCCTCTGTCTCTTTGGGGTGAAAATTGATAAGGTTGCTGACGCGAATACGTAGATGCCACAGCTTGTGAAAGTCCACCAGCGACCCGAACCACCGATCATGCGAGATGGGATCGACATCTTCTCTATACAGATGATTTGGTCGAGGGGTGGAAGCATCTCCCAGATCATTCAGGTGGAGAACTTCCAGGCTGTGCTTCTGTGTTTGGAGCGCCTCATGGAAGCACCAAGGCCGAAAGCTAGCGTCTACACCCGCCAAATCCTCCTCGTCCTGTCGGGAAACCCAGGTAATGTTGTTCGTATGCTGGTATACAAAGTGCTTAAGGTTGGCACAGGAGGTAATGAAATCGGCCATCCCATGCCTTCCGTTGCAAACGAAGTCCATGACTAAGTCCTCGACCGACGACGTACCTGGGACTGGAAGGAAGGCGGGGTGGTCCGCTGCATTGTAGGGGGAGTGAAGCTCCTGTACTGGGCCCAGTCGCAAAGTGCGAAGGGAAGGCAAGTGGAACAAGGGGAGGTATTCGCGGTGGCCCAGAACTGTGGAAAGACCACGCCAGGTAAGGTCGAGCTTTTCTAATCGCTGCAAGGCCGGGAGAGTGCTGGGATCGAAAGGCAATTGCTTCCATGCAGCTTTCGCAACAATCCGGGTGATCCAGCCTGCGGGGTGGCCATGTTGCGCTGAAAGTGCAGTTAGGTTAGGGAGAATAGCCATTAGAAGAGCAATCCACGTTTCACCCTGGTTTTTGGAGAGCGCTTTTTGCCATGCATCATATTCTACGGGCGACTCGCTGATGAGGTCTATCAAGTTCTGAACTGCTGAGCCTAATGCGCTCGGTGAACCTTCCCTTGCGGCGATCTCCATCGAAATATTGCGGATGGAGGACCTGATCACCGGGTTGGCAAGGGCCGCTACGGCCAGCTGTCGAAGCTGAAGCCATTCGAGGCGGATCGAGCAGAAAGCAATTCTCAGGAATGAGGCACGCCAGCGCCGACAAGTCTGGACTAGATTCAGTCGGTCTCGTGCGTTGGGAATTTCCTGGATGATGGACAGGAGAATCTCTACCGGTAGACGATCCATCTTCAACGCAGCGAATTCAGGCGATCTGTAAACAAAGTTCCAACTGATCGCGAACAAAACTTGACTGTCAGCATTATTGGTAAATTTACCGCCGGCTTGTGGTTGTTCATGTTAATTAACGGACATTTACGGTGGTCTCCGTTGATCGACTGGTGACCGTGCGCTACTGATATGAAAAAGATCTTTTATACAATGCGCCAACTACGCCAACTACGTTAGCATCCGTGGCTTTGATGCATAATAATTAACAGCCGATCTCATATATGACCTTGCTATGGAAATCCTAAGTCGCCAGATGCTCCTTGGGATACCACATGGGCACTCAATGGATCCAAACCTTGAGTCGGGTTACAATCCGGTTCCACCAGATATCCTAGGCCACTCAAAGCATCTCTATATGGTTTAAGCTTTTCAAGGGACAGATACGAAGAGGGTATCCTTCGCTGCTCGAAAGATATTAGAATATATGTCGATCAGTGGGCCACCTTGTATGTATTTCCAGAATTCTCCATGTTTCCAATGACCGTAGCAAGTCCACGCAAATACAATTTATCCACCAGTCTTGTAACTGGACAGACTATAACTGACGACGAGGTTTTAGCTTCCTCTTGTTCCCTGTTTTAATATTTTACATAATGATTATACGAGCAATTGGGACGGAAAAATACTTTGACCGATCAAATAACTCTAGAACTGAAACTCCCGTCTCGCAAGTGTGGACCAGTTGACAACAACCACGAAATATATGACGACTCAAAATGACCGTACCCTACGGACGCTGGAATAGCCCACTAACCCCCGAACTACTGTCGAGCAGTAGCATATCCCTGCACGAAGTGGTCGTCAATGTGGGTCCTAGTCCCAGCTCACCAAGCTCGCTATCGGACTAATGAGAATTAGGAGTCCACCGGGGCCATCTACTGTGTGGAAAGCCACCCGACGGAGGGTGGCCGACATGCTATCGTGCAGCATTGCCATGGTGAAAGTCGGGATGTGCTGCCGAAAGACCTTAGTGCACACGCCACGGTGCAAGAGCTCGGTGGTGGTTCCCTTGCCATAAGACCGGACGGGCTGATCTCGTTTTCCGACGAAGGCTCTAGCAGCATTTACTTGCTGGATCCTGTGTCCAGCAAAGTTACTTTGATCCTGGAAGGGGTCAAGGGTGTCCGCTATGCGGATTTCTGCCATCATCCGATCGATGCAGAATGGATGCTGGCCATCAAGGAGGACCATCGCGAAGCCACTCCGGAAACCCAAGCATTTATGGTCCATAACTCCCTGGTGGCCATCAACGTCAATACCGGGGAGGAAACCACGATTGCCCAAGGTGACGATTTTTTCTCCCATCCCAAGTTCGATCCCTCGGGGAAGTATGTCTCTTGGATTCAGTGGTCCCATCCGGACATGCCATGGACCGGAACCGTTCTCTATGTGGCCACATGGGAAGATGGGTGTCTGAAAGATTCCAGGCGTGTCGCAGGAAAAGCACAGGAAGAGAGTATCGCGCAGCCAAAATGGGGCTTGGACGGTTCGCTCTACTTTGCGAGCGATAGGACAGGGTTCTGGCAGCTATATGCATTCAACGTCAATGACGGCGCACCTCGTCCGTTGGCGCTGAAGGGTTTCGAAGAGGCAGACTTTGCCACAGCTGAATGGGAACTTGGAAGGTATTACGGGTGATCCCATGTTTATACGCGGTCAGACTAACACCCCGACCAGCTCCACGTATACCTCCCTTGATGCAAGGACGATCGTCGCCACCGTCATCACTCACGCCACGAGTCGAGTGTTGCTGATTGACACCACCACATTCTCTGCTCGGCAGCTAGACCTTCCCTACCTGGATTTGGGCTCTCGTGCGAATGGGATTTACCGTATTTCACCGACCAGCTTCGTCATCGTTGGCTCGACGGCAACATCGCCACAGGAGTTGGCTCTGGTATCCATTACGCCCACCGATTCCGTTCAAAGAACCGTGCTGGCTTCCACTGCATCCTTCCACTTGGATCCTGAATACGTCTCTCGCGCGACGGAATTTCGTGCACCCCAAAAGTACGGACCGCAGTGTGACGGCGACGTACACATGTTCTACTTCCCCCCACAGAATCCGAATTATCAGTCAGACGATCAGGGTCCTCCTCCCGCGCTGGTCTACGTTCACGGCGGGCCCAATAGCTGCGTCACCCCGGCTTTGAATCTCGAAATTCAATACTGGACCACGCGTGGCTTTGCCGTTTGCGCTCTGAACTACACGGGCTCCACCGGATACGGTCGCGAATATCGTGAACGTCTCTCGGGACACTGGGGCCTCGTGGATGTTGGCGATGCCGTGAGCGCAGTCGACTTCCTGGTGGCAAACGGGTTGATCGATAAGGCGCGCGTGGGGATTTACGGTGGTAGTGCAGGCGGCTATTTGACTCTGCGGGCGCTGCACATGTATCCCGACGTTTGGGCGGCGGGGATCAGTTCCTATGGCATCAGCGATGTCCGGGCACTGCAGGCCGATTCCTACAAGTTCGAAAGCCACGATGTGGATCGGATTTTACTCAGTACAACGAAGGCTGAGGACAGAGATGCTGAGCTCACCAGACGCAGTCCGTGCCATTTTGCGGCGCAGATGAAGGCACCACTCCTTTTGCTGCAGGGCACGTCCGATATGGTTGTCCCTGTTGCACAAGCCCGGATGATGGCTGATGCGATGCACAAGTGTGGAAGGGTAGCAGAGGTGGTTGAGTTTGAGGGTGAGGGCCACGGCTGGGTTGGCCATGAAACCATCTATGAGTCATTCAAGCGGAAGGAGGAGTGGTGGAGGCATCATTTGACTTGATCTCTGCTTGGGGTATTAGGAGGTCAATCGTACATGTATGTAGCTCTTTCTAGTATGTGATGTTATCTACGGAGTCACTGTTCTTTCCGGCATTGATTCACAGCGTATTGTGACATTCAAGTGTTCGACATCTCCGCCTGCCTACAACCCCTTCCGGCGTTTACCAGGCCTCACCATAGGATAAGCATCGCTCTGGAAACGAACCGCTTTCCCCGTGACGAGGCGTCCAGATCCTTGTGGTGACCCTAATCATGTCATTCCCCACGCTGATGCAACTCATGGTGATGATAGTATGTCTAGCCAGGTCACTAAATCCAGCGATGGAATGCGATAATGTAGGTACAAGAAAAGTGAGAGAAGAACATTGGATTTACTTCACAACGAAAGGAATGTAGGCTAGAGCATTTATCCACGTACCAGACCATAAGCATGTCTTGTATGCACGAGCTTTGGTTATTGGGACTGCGTGGAGGAATCTGTGATCGTTTATCTGGTGGGTGAGATCTGTATTGGGGAATAACTATGACGATCATGTCAGCAACACTCAAGAAGAATTTTGTGCGGTTGTCTAGACCCTTTACTATCGTATAAAGTACATCTTGGCGGGTTGAGGTTGATGGTGGGGTCAGGTGGGGTTTATATATCCCAGTCAGTCATCTTACGCGCTGATGTTCGCTCTCACCCTCATTTGCCTGCATCCCGAGTGCTAGACTTGAAAACCCTGGCAAGTCTAGCGTGATATCCTTCGACGTGATATATTCCTCATCCTGCCTCATTTAGTTATATAATTTCACAGTATGCCATGTCTGCTACAGCCGATCCCAAACCGGTGGTGGACACAGCCAGTGGCAGTGAAGCTCTGCAAGACTTCCAAGGAGAAGTCCAGACCAGTGATCAGCCCCCATCAGTAGAAGCTCTACGCAAGATTCAGAACTACTCCGTATTAGATAGGCATGGCGAGTCTCATTCGTTCAACAGCCTTCATTCCGCGCCTGGTGTAGCTCAACGGGTTCTACTGATCTTCGTCCGACACTTTTTCTGTGGCGTACGTTTATTCTGCCTCTTTCCAGCGGCTCTGCAATGAACGAAGCCCCCGGAAGGAAGAGACCTCGCTTACCGATCTTCACAGAGTTGCCAAGAGTTTCTTCGAACGTTGTCCGCCTCCATCACCCCGAGTGTGCTGGAACCCCTGGCACAAAGCACCTCGGTGGTCATCATTGGCTGCGGCGATCCGGGCTTGATCGAGATGTATGCGAAGGAAACCAACTGCCAGTTCCCAATCTACACGGACCCCACCAGACAGCTGTATCAGGACCTGGACATGATGTGCTCGCTGGCCATTGGCAGTCAACCGGCTTATATTCGCAAGGGCATGGCTCGGACTGTCGGCGAATCAATGATTCAAGCTATGAAATATATACCATCAGGCTTGGCGCACAAGAGCGGGTACTACAAGCAGATTGGGGGGGAATTCCTGTTCGAACCGGCTAAAGGCAACGAAGAGACGATGGGTGAGGAAGAGAAGGTAGTAACATGGTGCCATCGGATGAAGACGACCCGGGATCATACTGAGATCCCTGGCCTGATGCGGGTGCTGGGGATTCATCAGACGAATGATCCCAATTGAAGGTGTATGTCGTGAATGATGTTTTAGCTTAAGGCGTGTGTTTGATGTGGTTCTGTTGATGCTCAAACATCAGTGATACAACCAAAACTTTGACATTTACTGGCGGTTCCACGTGTCTTCTTCCACAGCTCCTAATGATTAGCAAAACAAAACAGTTCAAGGACTGTTGCTGCAATGGTACTCTAATGCCGACATACTGAGTTGCTCCCCATTTAACTGACGGCCTCAATCGGAATCACAGATTTGGAAACCACCCAGCATCTTGCTCCCCTTGTTTGACGATACACCACAGTAGGATGGGAGGAAACGACAAGTCATTAATTAGGTACGGCTGTGTGCCATAACCTTCCACATCAGTTGCAGTATTGCATGAGGGCCTCTGCGGAGCCCTCGGGTATATATATAATTGTACCTACATTAGCGTAAACCTACCATCCATTGCGAGCCGATCCTACACCAGCTTAGTACAAAAAGAGCCGATCATTACTCACATGCTCCTCTGTATAGTGATTTGGCGGACCGAGGTCCGGAAATGAACCTTGAAACTGGACTGCTGCAGTCCCGTATATAGGTTCCATCCGCATAGCAACATGCACTTACATATATTCCTGGTATTATTGCAAGAACAACGACAAGTATAGCCCAGGGATTTACGACTGCGAATATGAAGTTGATCGACATCCTCACCACCGTTCCACCAGAGCAGGCATCTTTAAGTTTCTTCGCCTCTACCATGCAGCTTCCCATATTTGAACGATTCCAGCTCCTACCAACCTATCACATTACCACCTAGATACAAGAACAGCGACTCATCGGACACCTTCAGCGAAACAATGAACACTCCTAACATGTTCCCACACATTCTTGCATTCATCAGGAAGGAAATCTTACGAAGTAACCGTCCCACATGGGAGAATCGGGATCGAGAGCAGACTGGGCCGGATATCATCTTACTCGTACACCTGGGTTCAGGAGGAAATGGGTTCCGCGACACCGTCCACGGTGGCGTACTCGGCGCACTTCTCGACGAAGCACTAGGATGCTGTATCGAATCCTGGGCCTGTCAGCTCGACAAGAGTGAACCAGCATCCTCGGAGACGCGACCACGCTTGTATACCGCTAGCCTTAATATCTCATATCATGCGCTAGCAGAATCACCGGGCATCATTCTTGTGCACGCCTGGCTTAAAGGCAGGCAGGGCAGGAAGTGGTTTTTAGCCGCCAAGATTCTAGGGGACGATAATCGCACTCGAGCGGAGGCTTCGGCCTTGTGGGTCAGTGAAAGAGCTGCCGCCATGTAAAGCTGTTTCCACTTTACGTATCTTCGCGGGGTTTCATTTGGGTGGGCCCGATTGAGAAGGCACATCTCGACCGTCATACCTTGCTGGATGGTATCACATCCCGAGGGGAACCTCGACAAGCCTGGGCCAGGAACCGGAAGCTCCCGCGCTGCTAGATATTGAACGTACCATATCAGCATCAACAACGTTTCCCGATTGAGCCCGGTGCATATAAGGTGGTATTGATATCCGCTCGACCTACGACACAAGTACAGCGATTTGACGAGCGTAGCTTCATCTTAGCTAAGGATCTGAACCCCTGTGTCAAGTGAATCACCTGAGCGCAAATCCCTTCCAGATATCTTAGTCGTCCTGCTCGTACTATCTCGCAACCACGGTATGACTACGAGTTCAACGAATAGGAGTACTTTGCATGGACTGGGGCTCGTGGTTGGTCTCCATAACGTACCCGTTAGCGCATGCCCTAATGCATGCAGCTGCGCCGCAGGCCCGAGGTACCCGTAAGCGATGTTTAGCGGTGGTCGGCGCTTTGGGAGTCCTCAAAGATGAGAACCCCTTTAACCCCGTTCTTGCATCTTGGACAGTGTCTCTGAGTACTGTAAATTTATTTTCACCACCGTGTCTATAGCACCATACGAGCCAAAATGGGAAAGCGAGTACGCCATTTCATTGGAGTGGAGAGCTCTGAGCAGCTCGCATTCATAGATGAGCTTCAGGCGCTTGGACTGAGTAACACGATTAAGCTACCGGAGGTAAGTTGATTGGAGACTGGCCGGAGCATATGCTGATGTCTGCGGTCGTCATTAGCTCGTTGTCGTCGGGGACCAGAACACCGGCAAGAGCTCTGTCCTTCAGGCTATCACCGAAGTGTCCTTCCCAGTCAAGGACAATATGTGCACTCGCTTCCCTATTCAGATTTCATTTAGACAGACATCTGCGGCTAAGGAACTTCCTGTGAAGGCTACAGTGGTCCCGGGCCCATTGTCTGAGGAAGATGATGAGCTTCTCGCTCGGGTACAAGATTTCGCCATCGAGAAGAAGGAACTGACCTCGGAGGTCATGGAGGAGATTATAGATAAAGTCGGTGCATGTGGCTTTCGCTGGCCTTTGTCATTGCTAACACAGATAGGCAACGGAGTGCATCTTCGGTGACAGAAAGCCCACCGAGCCATTGACACTGAGCGATGCGACCCTCCGAATTGAGCGCTCCGGCCCTGACGAAATGCACTGGACAATCGTGGACCTGCCCGGCTTGATACGTGGAAAGAAGTCGAGCAAGGCTAGAGACGTATCGAATGACGCTGGTACTGGATTAAATGAAGAATCGCATGTCCGGAATAACGCGGCAGTGGCGGAGGAGTTGGCCCGTACTTATTTGAATAACGAACGAAATATCATTTTGTGAGTGCCATGGATTCCATCTGACACTGATGACCAAGGCTAACGGCGGTTAGGGTTGTGGTCGACAACGTGGACGTGGAGCGACATAAGACTTTTGAGCTGATAGAAGAGATACCGAGTCTGCAGACCCGATGCATCGGGGTTCTCACCAAATGCGATCGAAAGCAGGAAGGATCAGACCATTGGGTATGGCCTTCCGAGCCTCTTGCATCATCCAGATACTGACGAGCTAACTAGATGATCAAACTTCTTCAAAATGACCTGGCCACTGTTCCACATTTGGACCATGGTTGGTTCGGATTGCGCAACAGACTACCTACTGAACGGGATTCGTCTGATGCAGATCGAGACGACATGGAACTCAAGGAATTTGCTAAGCCAGCCTGGGAAGGTCTATCGAAAGATAGGCTTGGAATCCGATCGTTGATGGGCTACATCGACAAGGAGCGACGGACTCAAATCCAGAAAGAGATCCCCCACATTATCACTGAAATCACCCAGCACCTCCGTGAGTGTGAAGCAAATCTGAAAAGAATGGGAGAGTCGAGAACTACTGCGCGAGCTCAACGCTATTATGTCCTCCAGTTCTGCAATGAGATGCAGAAGATGGCTGAAGGAACCTTAAGAGGTCAGCATCAAGACATACCTTCCACAGATGCAAAGGCTATGCTTCGTTACAAAATCCGACTTCGTCTGGACCAATTTCGTGACGATATGTGCAAGAGCGACAATATTGCGATCGCAATTACAGATTATAAAACTGACCTGGAGTGGCTCAGATCTCAAAGCTCCGATCCCAGGGTATGGGAGGAGCATGTGGTCAATGGTCAAGGGCTCTACGCAGCAATTGCTCAGGAAGCCAAGATATGCGAAGGAAGAAGCCTTCCTGGAAGCGTTCATCCAGATGTAGAAGAAACGCTTTTCCGGAAGCTGTCAGCGCACTGGGAAAGTATCGCCCGTGAGTTCGTTGAGGATATCAAGATCATGGTCTCGGACTGTTACAACATCCTATTAAAGATCGCAATACCGAATAGCAAAGTGCGTCTGGAAGTAAGTCGTATTGTTGGGAAAACGCTTGAAGAATGGAACCGAGACGCAGACATGGCACTTCGGGAATTGGTTGAGGATAACCAGGCCCGTCCATTGATTACTCGCAACCCACATCTACTGTCGTTTACGAGCATGACAGATGAGATCTTGCTGGGACATTCGTCGAAGAAAGCAGCGAGTGGTAAGGCCAATGGAGCTTCGAAAGAAGAAGATGAAGAACCATACTTTATACCTACCTCCTTGAACCAGATTCTTTCCGCCCGAGCGAGACTAGATGGATACTACAACATTGCCCTATGGCGTTTTATCGACAATGTCGCGATGCAGGTTATGGAGAGACATGTTCTGGGACCGAAATGTCCAATGCGTGTTGTCTCCGCCGATAGGTTTGCTCAGCTTGATGATACTGAGCTGAACACCGTTGCCGGCGAAGATGAAGCCGATACTCGTATGCGCGCAAGACTAGAGCGGACGCAATCTCGCTATCAGAAAGCACTTGAGCGATGGGAGAGAGTGAGGGTTCTCTAATTTGAGCAGGGTCAATCCGTGCTATTCTATCGAGTCATCGGTTCTTAACTAGGGTATTATGTATGTAGGGGCATGTATATCTTCCATTATTTCGATTCAATGACGGTGTATTTGGTATTCTCGTTGCTCGATGCTGGATGTTACTTTGGAATTGAATGGCTTTGAGAAGGCCACGTAGGGGGTCTCGAAGGAACGATCCGGTCAGGAATGAGCAACAACAACCTAAATAAACGCTCGGATAGAATGGGGATGTCGATTGATGTCAACCCAGTACAAGTATCTCCCAATAATGAAAGCCTCGTGCTTATTCTCCAACTACCAATGCACTGGCAACCTCGCGAGCGGCCACTACACCCGTCTGCATAGCACCCTCAATAAAGCCAGCCCCGAGCGAAGCAATGTCACTCCCTGCGAAGAAGATGCGACCATGAGGCTGTCGCATCAGTGGAGCGGCTCCTGTCAGCTTCCCAGGCCGGTACCATCCCCAGCCACCCTGAGAAAACTCGTCGGTACCCCAGTCATGACTAGCAGTATCGACAACCTCAATATCAGGAACGAACTTTCGCAAAGCATCTTGCACTGCCGCATGGTCATTTGCTTGGATTGCTGCGGCATCAGAGCAAATGCACATGATTAGGGTGTCTCCTTCATACCGTGACTCGACCCTAGCTGCATTGATAGGACTTTTACCAGCCGGAGCAAAAGCATTGAAGGGTTCAATAGTACCCTTAGCACGAACGTATATCTTGCTGGCCATTACCGGATTCTTGCTGTCGATCATGCTTTGCACTGGTGCAGGAAGCTCGGGTTTGATGGTTATATCGCCAAGAGTGTTTATGGGCATTGCGCTGATGACAAAACGGGAATGGATAATCTCACCGGCACGTGTGGTGACTGTCACCAGAGAGCCGTTGTCTGAAATCGATTGGATAGGTGTTTGGAGGCGTAACGTGGCAGTCGATTCGGACATCATAGCGTTTGCCAGACGCTTGGTGCCGCCCTCTATGTGCCAAAAGCTAGCAGTTTCGAAGAAGCCATTGTAGTCCCCAAAGGTGCCAGATACACCTTGAAGCAACTGGGCGACCCCCTGCTCTCTATATGAGTGAACTAAGCCCGACATGGCTCCTTCCAGAACATCGCGTTCATAGGCAGAGAGGTTCAAGGAAATAATGCGGTCTTCGAGGGACTGCTGGTCGACATCACTCGCTGAAGCACTGACGTTGAACGGCATCGGAAATTGAGAACGAGCATCATGCACAAACTGTGACATGAGAGGATTGACGGCTTCGTAGTAGTCGTTAATTGTGCCTGAGTGGACATCGTGATCGGCTAGCCAGTAGGCCTTTTCTGAATCCAACGGGGGAATTATGGGGATGCCATGTCGTTGTAGCTCATGCCAAATGGTTGCATGGGTCCAGTGCACATAAGTACCTCCCAATTCGAGTTCGGTCCCAAAGGCTTCGGTCGTAAACGTTCGTCCGCCGACTCGATCTCGACCCTCGAGAAGGACAACGGAATGACCCTTTTGGCTGAGATCTCGGGCGGCGAGTATGCCCGCCATCCCAGCACCTATCACCGCAACATCAAAAAGCTCCTTCATGTTTTCGCTGTTATGGAGGATCTCGGTGATTCTTTGGTACTGTGGTAAATGTTAAGTTGTAGATGATGGTTGGCTGGGTACTGAGGCTGCATATAGGCTTATATAGCAATGGTGAGTGCTAATATGTACAGCTTCAACTGATCGGCTGTACAGGGAGCGACATGATCGCCACCAGGGATTACCTGACAGTTTGGGGCCACGATGAGAGGGCTCCACCATTAGGTCTACGCTGTATGGGCCGTGTAGTGAGGAACCGCAAGGTAGCTCGGATCCGCGGATCCGCGGGTTCGAAGATTCCTCGCACGATCATAGCAAAGAACCTTGAAGGATTCATGGCCAGAGATGCTCTGGGACTCCACTGCGCATGCCCAGATGTAGATGTTACTATATTTTGTCTCCGAGAAAGTTTCTCCTAGATCAG